ATAGATATGAGCCAATGTCAACGCTGCGACTTCGTAAATCGATATTGGAAGAGATTAGGGATTATGCGGGTAGGTGCTTTAGTATGAACATGTCTATTGAGTATAGTAACGGGTTAAAGTCGATGCCGTGATACCGTAAACTAATCTCGAAAAGGGACTAGGGACTATATAGGTAGACAATCGATGAGGAATCAATTGAAACTTTGAGATTTACACAGTAGCATAGAGCAATAATAAGGGTGAGCCCAAATTTCTTAGCGACGAGAGTCTACAAGTACATTGCTAACATTCATTTCTTTTAAGTTGTTATGAGTCATTCTATTATTAACGTCATTTTTTTTAATTTTAAATTTCGAATTAATATTTTCTATTTTATTATTTAAAAATTCTGCTGCGTGCTGGAAAACCATCAACGGTACTTCATTCCTTTTTTTTTTTGGTCCACAGAGCATTAATGAATTTAAGATAAGAATGAAAGATGTGTGTGCTTGAGAATAAAAGGCAATATTTATGTTACATCCATTATTCATTCCACCATTTACATTTATGTCACATATCTAAAAATGTTATTTCACTATCTAATTTTATTATATACTAATTTTGTTATATAGTATTTATCATGTAATAAAATTAATTAAAATCTTTCGTCATAAATTATAGATTTTGCATTAAAATTTTGAATGGAAATTTTAAAATAAAAAGTATCTTGATTATAATATTTATGTATGCAAAAATTGTTATTTTAACATCATTCAACTTTAAAAATATTTAAATAGTAAAAAAAAAAACGACCAATGAAAATTTAAAATGAGATAAATGTGATGAGAAATTAAAAAAAAATGGTTTTATTAAAATAACCCATTTTGTTAATTATTTTTAATGCATAAAATAGAATTTATTAGGATTTTTTTTATTTATAAATATACAAAATTCGCCGGTAATGAAAAAATCCCAACAGAAGCCCACTGGACACTACGGGATGGTTCTAAAAAAGGCCCATAAATTTCTTATTGGGCCTAATCTCGGCCCAAAAATTTCCCGACGTTCGATTACCGCGGGAACCATTCTGAACAGAAAGCCGATCTGGGCAGCACGCCGATATCTTTGAGCGCATTGTTTATGTATGGCTGATTGTCATAAATAAAATAAAACGGCGAATCTAATTTAAGAGGATACCATCTTAATCTTGAGATTTTTGTTGAATTTCTTTGACTTTGGAGGATTTTTGTAGAGAGTCAATTGGAGCTCCGTCAGAGAGAGCGAGAGTGGGAGCAGAAATGGAGGTGGAATTGGAAGAGATGTGGAAGGATCTCGAATCCCTGAAGCAGTCGCTAACCGATCCGTCTCATCGGGGCCCGGTTGATAAGGTATTTCTGCTTTTCAGTTCTGCATCATTTCTTTTGATCATTTAGTTCGGAATTAACTTCCTGAACAATTGTGCCTATGTTCTGGCTGGATTTTTTTTTCCTTTAACTGAATGATTTCATTGTCGAATTCTTTCTGCGTGTGGTTGAACCTGTTTTACGTCCTTTTAATTTACCCGCGAATCCTGCATGTATGGTTTTATTTTGCATGAATATTCAAGTGTATCTTTCACTATGGAGAATTGAGAACGTTCCTCTTTCATAATGTAAAGGAGATTACGTTAGTGAAGATAGTTTGTAAATGTGTTGAGTGTTTGATTATTCTAAAACTGAATTCAATTGCTCTCTGGCTATGTCCAATCCAGCTTCAATTGCATTTAGAGCGTCTCACGAATCTTTCGAAGTCAGGACCAGTACGACGATCAAAAGTTAAGGTGACTGTTCTATGCCCTGTCATATGTTGATTTCTTCCATTGCTTTTTAATTGAAGCTTATGATTATATTGATGAACACATGCATCAATGAAATGGTGGCAGGACATGAGTGCTGAGGTGGTAGACAGCAACCCTTACAGTAGGCTTATGGCTCTTCAGAGGATGGGCATTGTAGAAAACTATGAAAGAATACGGGAGTTTTCAGTTGCCATAGTTGTATGTACTCATCTTCTCTTTCTTTATGTGTGTTCTAGAGTTTCAATTTGAGAAGTTGACATACATGGTTATATGTCTTCCCCTCATATGATATGTTTTCACTGTGGTTTTCAACTTTCAGACATTTTGTTGTTTAATTTTTATAATGAATTTTTATGTCATTTCATTCTTCATCCACAGGGAATTGGAGGTGTTGGAAGTGTTGCAGCTGAGATGTTGACAAGGTGTGGAATAGGTCGCTTGTTGCTATATGATTACGATAAAGTGGAGCTAGCTAACATGAATAGACTCTTCTTTCGTCCCGAGCAGGTAATCATTTCAGTATTTCGTCCTCCTTTCTTACCTGGGGGTCTTGTGTGGTTTAAGAATGTGCTTGCTCTTAATTTTGATCTCTTCCTGCATTTAGTTGTATGCCGGGCTGTAAATTTACATTTTCATGTTGCTACACTCTTCATGTTCTGGAAGGTCTTTTAGCTCTAAGTTTGTACCCACATATAAGGCAGCTGAATGTAAAGTTGCTTGTTTGTTCACTAGTTTACCTTCCCAATATATTTTCAGGTTGGTATGACAAAAACTGATGCTGCAGTGCAGACTCTTGCAGATATAAACCCCGATGTTGTACTTGAGGTTAGCCTTTTATACTACTGGTCTATTACTTGCACCTTTGTTGATGAATAATAACCACAGATGACCAGTAATAGTTTGTGCATAAAAACGAATTTTCTTTGTACTTGACGCAAAATGAATGGAACTTTTATGTTTTTTTTCCCTAATATTATGTATAATTTTCTATAATATTCATGCTATCACAAAGAATAGTTCTAAGAAAGAATATAGCTTTGGAACATTTAATTTACTCTTCATTCTCACTATAAATCACAACATTAAACTATGCAAAATATCTGTTTCATTTTGTTCTTTTATTCCTCATTCTGATGGGTTCATTTTGTTCACAGAGCTATACGCTGAACATCACAACTGTACAAGGTTTTGAAACTTTCATGTCAAGTTTGAGAAACAAATCATTCTCCCCTACTAAAGAAGGCAGTGGAGTGGATCTTGTCTTAAGTTGTGTTGATAACTATGAAGCAAGGATGGCTGTTAATCAGGCAAGTTTCTTCAGTGTCTACTTTTTTTTTTTTTGTATATATGGCTATATAAGACTATGTACGTTGTTGTACTTTGACGTTAATATTTAAAATTTGATAGTCAGGCTTGCAATGAGCTAAATCAGACATGGATGGAATCCGGTAAGCAAGACATATTCTTATTTAGACCATTCGCCTAAGAACGAATTTTTATACGTAGTCCTCCCTTTATGCATTTATTTAGATAGATTTCAATAGAGTTAGCTTTCATAAAAAATAAAAAATTGAAAACATGAAAAAAAAATCAATAAAGTTAGCTTGAAACTGCCAAATTACGGACAGATGCAAGTGGCATAGTTATATTTTCACTAACTGACTACACAACACACACAAGTGAGTTAGAACACCTAAAATCTTAATTTTGATGTATTGGATAAGTACTAGGAATTGTAAATTGATGTCAATAGAAATTTAGAAGTACAACACTCAAATTTATGAAATCATTGATTAAATGTCTCCACAGATATTTGAGGAAAACATGGAAATCTCAAGAATTGATAAAATTGTTTGAATTAATTTGTTAATCATCATCATTAGTTTATATTAATATTATTGGTGGTTGTCACAATGACATGTCTAAGTTTTCTTGACATTTCACTGACATATTGAAGAAAAAAAATATATTCTTGCATGTCAATGTTATCGATATAATTTTTATTGACACATCAACAAAAAATTTACTTCATGGATGAGAATGATTTAAGTTACTACTGGAAAAGGTCTGGGAAGCATCTCAACGTAGATATGGGTTTTAAGTTACGACTGGAAAAGGTCTCAGAATGATTTGAATGTGTATGCGTGACAAGTGCTAATGCCTGATACCATGGGCAGGATGATTTTCAAACTCCTTGTTAAAATAATCCGCTCTTAGGAATAGTTCTACTTTGATTTTTTAAATAAATTTATAAAGTTATTATAAAGGTGATAAATGTGAACTTACAATCACAGCTACTGTTATTTTGACTAGCCTAGTGATATTTTGAAAGCATATTTTATGCTAGCTTCTTAGTTCAAATCTAAGTAGGGCATGCGGGCAACCATTCTTAGATTAACAAAATCATACTCATATTTTATACGAAAAGATAAAAAGAATATTAAATTGTAAGTTTAGTCCTTTGACAATTTCTGTCTAATAGGTGCATGACATTTTAATTTTGAGTCAAATGTCTGTGAATTTCTAATATGTTTAATGGTTTAGAAACCTTTAGTTACAAGCTTTCGAGAGTTTAGGAGCTTATTAGACACACTTTAAATGTTCAAAATCCTATTAGACACAAATTTGAGTTTGTGACTTATTAGATACTTTTTAAATTTTAGAGTCCTCAAGAAGTAAACTTATAACTTAAAACCTATGAAAAGAAATAATTACTTTGCGCGTTAGCACTAATTATTTACAAATTGGAGATTTGTTAAGATATTTCTTTGCACATATATTGCTAAGACTTCGCAAATTGGAGCTTTGTTTAGGTGTTTCCGAGGATGCTGTCTCTGGTCATATTCAGTTGCTTATTCCTGGTGAAACCGCCTGTTTTGCTTGTGCACCACCTCTGGTATTCCTCCTCTCTAATCAAGATCTTGAATGTTTGGAGATTTCTTAATTTTAGTATAGATGTTGTATACTTATATTAACTACAAAACCCATGTTCTGCTGTTTCTTAACTGCAATAACTTTGTTTATGTGGTTCACCTGACGGTGTACCTTCGTCATCATCTCTTTTTTAATGTCATTGCTCATTGGTGGAAGGATTTATTCATTTATTTTCTTTGTTCAGGTTGTAGCATCTGGCATAGATGAACGAACACTCAAACGAGAAGGGGTTTGTGCTGCATCTCTACCTACAACAATGGTAAGGATTTTCTCGTTTCTGATACAAGTCCCAAACTGCACGTGTTAATAGGGAAGCCGGAAGGCTGTTCCTGATCCTGTCAGGGGAGATACACACCATCTCTCCTTTAATCGAACACAGAATTCCTAAGTTTTCTTATACAAATTATGTTCTAAAACCATCAACGAACATGTTTACATGTTTAGCATTTAATAAGTAACAAAAAGGAAATGTGGAAATAATTATTGTTTTGGAAATTATTTAAGAACTAGTCCAAGGTTAGCTAGGTCTGTCAATATGTTGGCTGCTTGCGTCCGTAGGCATCAACATTTGGGAACAAAAAAAATAATTGCTGTTACTTGCATCAGATAATTTGTTTTGCTAATATGTTTTTTTCTTCGGTACAAGTGCCGTTGCTAACTTGCATACAGAACCAGGGGTGGAAACTGTACTAGATCCATGAGAAAACCATAAACCTTTTTGTAATGACGTTTTTTGTTACTAGGTCCACATTGCCTATTCAATACACGGTATATTTTGGGAATTGTTATTAAGACGCTCCCGTCATCGGAAAATCGCTGTTAGCATAGCAAATGTGTGTTTGGAAAGTCAAAAGCACTTTCAAACAATATTTCATGTTTTTCAGCTTCGTTCTGAAAAAATTTCAGCAAATTTGAAAGTAGTTGAAAAGATGTCAAATATTTTTTGAGAAAGAACTTAATTCCTGTTTTCTTCTTCCAAAAATATCTGCCAGTAGGTATATAAGAACACTACTCTAAATACCACTCTTATTAGAACTTCAAAATATGTTCCACAAATGATGACATAATTCAAGGTTGGCTAACACTAACTAATGTATCATATTGACATCTATGATTTTGCTTTTTTATTATACTTTTCTAATTGTATAGACTAATTTGAAATGATTTTCAGGGAGTTGTTGCAGGCCTATTGGTGCAAAACACCCTCAAGTTCCTGCTAAAATTTGGGCATGTTTCTCCTTACTTGGTGAGTATAACTTGCTCCTCTAATCTTTATTCTTTAAAAAGGCATGATTACGAAGACAGACACCATATTAATGGGCATTGTCAATCAATCAAATACTAACCAACCATTTGATCAACTAGAAAGCAACTTAACAATTCTAAAACTAATTAGCATTAAGTGAATTGATTCAACAAAATAGAAAAGCTCAAACAGTAAATGTTAAGAGAATTTGATTGTTCCCCGCTGGTCATCAATTCCCTACCCTAAAAAGAGCTCATGTTAGAGTTTAAGATACAGCAAAGGAAAATACCTAAAACAATCAAGGATCCTTCTAAACTGAACTTCCTCTTATAATTTGGGAAGATTAATAAAAGTCTACCTTCAGCGCATTCAGTTTATGATATTCGCATTTGAAGGACAAGATGAAAGAAGTTGAAAGGTTGAAGGCACGAACTGCACATTTATGATGATGCGTGCAATGGCAGTGCCTTGCGTCAAAATCTTATAAAAAATTCTGGAACCAAACTAATGGCAGTTTCTTCCCCTAAACATTGGGTTGAACACAAAAAAAAACTCCAAACTAATCATTGTATCAATTAAAACCTTAAACTTTGTAAGTGGATCAATTTGAATTCTCGGTTATGATTCTACTTTAAAATCTATAATGTATAATTTTCACACAAATTAAAAGACTTTTAAATGCATGGATTAAGCGTAATATTATGTGATAAATTTTCTTCCTATTTTGGTAGGATTTTGCGAGAAAATTACTCTTTATTTAGGTGGTTTTGAGTTAGATTTTAGATGCAATCAAGTGAAAATAGTTATAAATTGGTTTAAAATTGATTCATTTTTAAATGTTTAGGATTTAAATTCATGCAACTATTAGTTTGAGATTTTAATTGGATGTATCCTCCAAAATGTAGGAGCACAAATTGATTTGTTTCCAAAATAAGTCGAGTATGTTTGTGCTCTGTTTGGCTCCCTTGTCCTTTTTTTCTTACTGGTTATATTCATTGCAGGGATATAATTCTCTAAAAGACTTCTTCCCAACCATGGAAATGAGGCCCAATCCTCAGTGTTCAAATGTGGTTTGTCTGGAAAGACAGGTAACTCCGACTGTTTTTTAAGTCAGTTAATCTCGATTTTTGAATTCCTATGGATTATTAATAATTTGTGTGGTGCAGAAGGAATACGTTATTGCAAAACCTGCACGTGATGCTGCAGCTAAGGCAAAGATGGAAGCAGAAGCATTGACGGTTGAAGAAATACCACTGCATGCTGATAATGAATGGAACATAAGGTGTTTGTTCTAACTCCTAACATTATACATGATGTAGTCTTGATTCCTCACTTGATTATCTTTTCAATCATAGATTAAATACAGTTGAGAAATTCTAGTTAAAAATTGGATATTTTAAATCGATAGCCTTGTTTTAACTTTGAAGAGATAAAATCTCTGCCTTTTGGTCTTGTCAGCGCTACCAAAATTCATCAAGAATTGATGCAGAGTCTTACAGATTATAGACACTTAGATTCGAGATTTAGCATTATCCAAAGAGTCTATCATGATTCCACCTCCGGTGTCTTAATTTATTTACTGTTGATTTTCAGTGTTGTTGATGAAGTTGAGATTGAAATCGAGGGAGCAACCACTTCAGGTGATCTTTTATGCATTTATTTTAGTTTCAGAATTTTCTTTCCGTTCTCTTTGCCTCCCTCCCAGATCATGCATATGGTCCTGCAAGTTCCTCATTTTCATCATGGTTTGCTATGTCCACCATAATACTTGCTGATATTGATTGATTCTGCACAAAATTGGTGATATTTTATGCTGGTAAATGACCTGGGACAACCCATTTTAAACCTTTAGTAATATCAGGTATGGACTTTGTGAGATCCCACGTCGACGATCCCACATCGGCTGGGGAGGAGAACGAAGCATTCCCTATTAGGGTGTGGAAACCTCTCCCTAGCAGACCGTTTTAAAAACCTTGAGGAAAAGCACGAAAGGAAAAGTCCGAAGAAGAGTAATACAACTTGATATTGATCTTGAAGTTAGATTCAACCAGTAGAAATTAGAGTTCATTTGTTGATTATTTTTTATGGCAGGATTTTGGTTCTTTGCTGTGGTAAGGATATCTTTAATCTATTTGATATTCACTTTGATTTGTTTTTTCTGGCAGATGCCCTTCCCGAAGGTCTTGTTCGTGAGCTTCCAATTGCAGATGAATCGCAGCATCCGGCTCCCACAGAATCCGCAGCCCCTTCTTCAGATGATCTTGAAGATCTGAGGAGACAACTTGAGGCCCTTAATTCTTGATCTCCAAATGTTTTCAGCTCTCGGTCTCGTTTGGATTTCACCATTTTGCTCCCCTCCGCAAAGGGTATGTGTTCATCCAATCTGAATTATAGCTTACAATAGCACTCTAGGGAGTTCAAAGAGAGAGAAGCTATTCCATTTCAGGGCTAATGCTTCAATAACTAGTTTCTTGACTGGATTCCTCGTTGTTCTTCTTTTGACAACAAATATTATTCTTCAAATCAAGAGGCTTACTTCTTCCAGCATTTTTTTGGTTGGGAATTATACAACCATCAAAGATCAAAGATTCGTCCCAGGGCAGCTCATAACAACATACCAAAAAGAAGAATGTGATGAGTTCATATTCTCTAGATTTGACTATAGAGTGTTAGAATGAACACGACTCTCCACAATGGTACGATATTGTCCACTTTGAGCATAAGTTCTCATGGCTTTGCTTTGAGCTTCTCCAAAAAGCCTCGTACCATTGGAGAGAGTATTCTTTATCAACACCTCCCCTCGAACAAAGTACGCCTCCCCTTAATCGAGGCTCGACTCGTTTTTCTTTTGGAGTCTTAGGCATTTTTTACTATGTCTTTGAGGAGGCACGACTCCTTTTCTTTTGAAGTCCTTTGTTCGACATTTGAGGATTTACCAATCTATTGGCATGACTAAGTTTTAGGGCATGACTCTGAAACCATGTTAGAACAAACACGACTCTCCACATGGTATGATATTGTCCATTTTGAGCATAAGCTCTCATGGCTTTACTTTGGGTTTCCCCAAAAGGCCTCGTACCAATGGAAAGAGTATTTTTTTATCAACATAGAGCAGATAGTGACGATGAAAAAAGTATAAGTTATCTCATATCAACATAGAGCAGATAGTGACGATGAAAAAAGTATAAGTTACCTCATTTGTATCGAGTATTTTTTAGGCAATATTTGAAAAAGAGATTTTTCGAACCGTTAAAGAGATTCGTTTAAAAAAAGAAAAAAAAATTCCATCCAAGTTTTGTTTTCAAAATTTTAAATTAATGTTTGTTTGGATTAATGGGTCTATCTGTATTTTTAAAGTCAAATTAGATGTATTAAAAATCTATTAAATAAAATATAAAACCTAAAAAATTATTAAATAAAAAATTGATATTGACTCTAATGAACACATGAAAAAAAAAAAAAAAACTTTAGATACACAAATTGAGAGGTTAAAAACATTTTATTTAACCATTATTCACATAAAATCCTAATCGTACGGCAAGCAAAATAAGGCGTCTTGCTTCCCTCATCGTCGTCTCGGAGCCTTGGTTTCCCGCGAAACCCGATTCTTACTAGCAGTTCCGGACGAATTACCGCCCATCCATGGAATCACTTCGAGCTTCCAAAGAGGCCGATTGAAATCCTCGTTTCAGAGTAGCCATCGCGGGACATGAACAACGATCGATGCGTAATATGAAGAAAAAAGAGAAGAAGAGTGCATACGAATACTGCCTCGTCTGCAAACTAAACCACGATCAAGGGCAGCGCCATAAGTATTTTCCCAACCACAAAAAATCTCTTTCTGCTTTTCTATCTCGGTTCGAGATCAAGCTGTCCGACGTTCGCTTCTTTCTCAACACCCCTTTTCGCCTCACGCCCGAGTATGCTTCTCACAATCGGTTCTGGTGCATCTTTTGCAATGTTGAAGTCGATGAGAATGATAGTTCGTTCGCATGGTATTGATCCGCTGTCTATTTTCAATTCCTTGTTAATTGAAGTAATTACGATGCATATTTATGTTTGCTGGGAAATTTTAGAATCAACTTCTGCTAGCTTATGTGCTAATTACGGTTGAACTCCTGTAAAGATTATTCGTCTCTTCTTTAAAAGGAGACTGAATTTCTTTGGTATAATGTAAACAAAAGGGAAGGGAAACCATGACTGAAGTTAATGGGGTTAAAGAAAAACCCTCCATTTAGTACATACTTCTGTAGAGAGCTTCAGGATCTTGTGTATTTTACTCGTTGTCTAGATGGCGTTCTTTAGAATTGACGTTAAATGGGAGGATTTTTGAAGTTCTATTGGCTTACTTCTAGACTTGGTAGGTTCCTTGCCTTCTATTCTTAATGAATATATATCTCTGTTGCTAATTTAAAGAATTGTATGGAGTGCAGTTTTCATGTTTTACTTTCATTATCTCATGTTCTGAGATTTTGTAACAGTAGCAATGCAATTAAACACCTGGCCAGTGCGGATCATCTGAAGAATTTGAAGCATTTCTTATGGAAGTATGGTGGTGATATGGAACGTTTGAATAATTACAGAATTTTAGAAGCTGATGAAGCTAAGGTAGTCGCGAGCCTTTACTTTTTACGAACTATATTGTTCATGTGTATCATGCAATCCACATTTAGATTTCTAAAAGTTCATTTTTACTTCTACTTGGCTATTAATTTGAATCAATCTTTGTTGATCCCAGTGGGAGAATAAGTGCAAAGTACAAAGCGTAGCTGCTTCGTCCAGTCTTGGACCTGCAAATGATATCCACAATCAAGTCCAATATGGAAAATTTGATAATTTTGGGAATAATAATATCCACTCTGTTGAATCTAGTTCGTCAATTAGTGTTTTGCCTTTACAAAGTTATACAAATGAGTATCAGGTATCCAATTCATCCTATTCAGGATCCTCTGATGTTTCGAATTTGGTCTCATTGCCACACAATACCACTTCTTCTTTGCATGCTGGTTCATGTTCTGGTGCACATGTATGGAGCCCAAAGAATTTACCATGTAAGCTGCCCCTTTATATTAAACCTCCTGTCGTTGATTTCTTATCAGTCATAGAAGTTCTGTGATAGTGTACAAACTTGTAACACACTCCTGCTATATTGACTGAATGATTGTGATCCAGTGAACAAGGACAACAAGCATTACCATCTGAATAGTGGTAGAACGTGTACTGCTAATGGTCATTTTAGTGGTCAGGGGGTAAGTCTGATTATTCTCTCTTCTACTAGAACAGTGGAGTTTTCTATTTCCTTTGAAGTAACGTTGTTTTGGTGCTAGAAGACCTTCAATTTTGTTTTGGTATGGAGGTGGCGGCGGCAAGTGGGGCTTTCTGTAACTGTTTTATATCTTTTGTAATTTCTCTTCTGGGTCCTTTGTCCTGTCAATTTCACGCATCTACGAAACAGTTGCTTCTTCTCTCAAGGATAAGTAGTGAACTGTCAGATTTACAAGTTTGTTAATACATTTATCGAGGCCTAAGGTTTCAATGGATGGTGGATGTTCTATGAAGTAGGTTATGCATAGTTTATTCTACACAAGTTACATAATTTTATACGACGGTTTATGTGTATATATATATATATGTATATATATAGTTGATGTATAATTTTTACTTCATAGTCGTGTTGACATTTATATATTTATTTTTCATACTATACATAAGTTTTTTGTATTGACATTTCTATTAAATGCATAACCTACTTGATATAGATGTCCGGGATGCATCAGAGTGAAAGAATTTTGAATGAAGAAAGCCATCCTGAGGGTACGGAATTTTACGAAATCTTATTCTTATTGTAATATTACTCAACTGATTCATGTATTAATTATATTTTTGCTGAAAAGGAATAGTGGAACTGTACTATCAAAATTATGCTATACTGATTTCCTTACTCTGAATATATCTTCATCTAAATTCTAAACTGTATAGTGGTGGTGTGTTTTCCTTCTATTCATTATCTTTGTTCAGGTTTTCAGACCCTCACTCGGATTTCTAATATTGTTTCTGGAGATTCCGGAGGAAATGTTCAGTCTGGGATGTTGCCTCCTTGGCTTGAAAACCATGAAGATAGTGGGTTTAAGGTTCAAATAAGACCAGTGGTTGGGGGTGGCGTTTCTTCCTTGAATGAATCTGCAAAGTCCAAGAAACTGAACCCCAAGCGGGTAGGAGCTGCATGGGCTGAAAAAAGAAAGTTGGAGATGGAAATGGAGAAGAGAGGAGAAATTGTCCAAAGCTATCGTGACGAGAATTGGCTTCCTAATTTTGGTAGGGTTTGGCAATCTGGTAGCCGTAAAGAATCTAGAAAAGAATTTGAGAAGGAGAAATCAAAATTCCTGATGGTTGAAAATCCAACTGAACCAAATGTCAATATTCAGCCATACATTAGCAAACGGATGGTGAGCTCCATTTTCATCATATTTAATGCAGTTCTGATGTTTCAATTTATTTATATCGTTTCAACACATTTTTTGTTCAACTGTTCAAATTTCCGTCACCTTTGTATCTTTTTGTTATAAAATGTTATTTTACCATGTATTTTCCAACTGGACCTAGCTTGTATGATGCAATGAGGAAGTGGGAAGTTCCGATACATGACTATAAGGTTATGTTTTGGGCACTCTATTTTCTAGTGCTTAAACCATCATGTAGTCATAAAATTTGAAGTTTACATAAAAAAATTCAATACTAAGTGATTTGCAGCTAATAGAATTAATCTATGATATGTTGTACCACGCAGGGACTTATTGCTGTAATGTGCATTTTATTTTTGTTCCTATTTCTTGGAGTGACTTGGACTTCTTCCTAGACTGATTTACATGTTATATCACTTATCCTTGTTCTTGCAGCGAAGAGATCGGGAGGATGTGGATGATACTGCCAATCACGCGAGCATATAAGAAAACAATTTTCAAAAGCTTTTCTTCTAGAGAATATTTGTACATTCACAATGCTTGTCACAGTTTGGTTTGGAGATAGAATTAGGCTGGAGTTTGATAGGAAACTTCAGAGGCAGACATATTCCACCTCTTCATTAGTGTATTGGCAATTTGCTCAAATCTGTTTGTAGTAATCATACCTTCAATTTTCTCAAGGTATCCGGTAAAAAAAAAGCCTCAAGATATTAGTTTAGTGGTACTTGAGAACAAGATCTTTTAGAATGAAGCTCTGTTGGATCACTCTGGGCATTCACTATTGAGTTTGTTTGCTAAACAGTGTTTGACCCCACTGTTGAATGCCTGCTCCTTGTTTCTCATTCCCCTATTTCTGTTGCATCCGCCCCAATTATCTTCTGCTACTGAAGTTGTGATCTGAAACAAGTTTATATTTCGTAAATATGTAGCTTGATGACAGCCTTTTGGTCTTCTTCTGCAATGCTCGTCGGGCAAAGCACCTGACCAGCTTGTATTTGGTCAGGGCTTGATCTACACTGTATAAATACTATTTTTATGATCTGTATGCTAAACAAATGAAAGAAAATATGTGTTCTTCTGACAGTCGCTGGCCAAGCGGCTAATTACTAGAATTTGGTTCTTCAAATCTCCGTGTTCTACTTTTGCAGTGGCCAAGCAGCTGTTCCATCTCTTTTCCCGTAGCTGCCAAGAAAGGTTCACAGGGACTGATTACATGTATGTTTCTCTGTACCTTCATCTCAGAACAAAAGTGAGCTCATTATTGGATCAAAATGCTTTTGTCAGGGCAGAATCTGGTAGAATTTTTCTCATTTCTAATCCTGAAAATCCAGAGTTTCCCTTTAGAGGAAATCAAGTTTTCATCACAAAGGAACTCCCAAGAATACCACTTTTCGATCATACGATCTATATCATGTACAACTACATCAGTGGTGTTCCCTTCTCTTGCTATGATAGCAGCACTGTAAATTGTTGCCATTCTTCCTGGTGCCAGAGGACTATCTCCTCTCGGTCCGTCCACGACTACCACATCCCATTTTACTTCATAAACTTCTCTTGGAAGATCTGTCAACGCAAGTTGGCATCTGGATGAATTCCTGAGGCCCGAGTTTGGTGCACATGATTTGTTTCCTCTGGCATGTTTTAACAACTTGTAAGCTTTTTCTGCATGAAGCTTGTAATCAACTTTGTACATCCGGGTGTGATTTGAATTGACTTTGAATATGCTCAGTTTGTAGGGATCGTCCTCCAGAAAAACATTCTTTCCACCAGGATTGACTGCTGAGAGGTTAAGGTACTGTGATTCTATCCCAAAGAAAAGGAGATTGCAGGGTACTTTTTTGGCAATCAGATTTGAAAGAAGCTTGAATTCTTTCTCTGAAATGGTAGCTTCATTTGCAGAGGTTCTACTGTGATTTCTTGAGAACCCTGATATTGGGCGTTGAAGCTTTGGAGGCAATGCAATTGCTAGAATTGGAGAAGTATAAGATGTGGTAAGTGCAATCCTAACAAGTCTGAAAATACAAAGACTAGACAGAATCAACACGAGAACAGGTAGGATTTTGTTTCTTGTAGAACTCATGCCTTTGATTCCTCTACTGATTTTGAAGTTTACTGATGGATATGGGTGCTGTGAGGGTGGTAAGACAGAGGGGGGAGAAAAGAATGATTCTGATGGCACGAGTGAGGGCCAATCTGTCACTTCTGGAGGCATTTTCTTTTACTGTTGTTCGATTTCAACCGCATCAGAGCCACCATCTTATTCTTATTGGAGGGGCACTGGTGGTGGGGTGTTGCTGGGTGCAAGTTGTTATGCCTAATCACCCTCTTGAGTGTGGAATAAGAAATGCTTTTGCTTATTCCCAAAGCATTGCCCTTTTGTATTCATAAGTCGGCTTTGCAAACGAGTACGACTAACGATGACGTTGGGCCTTAAAGGGGGTAGATTGTGAGATCACACATCAATTGGAGAGAAAAATGAGTGCTAGTGAGGACGCTGAGCCTTAAAAAGAATAGATTGTGAGATCCTAAATTAGTTGTGGAGGAGAACGAAACATTCTTTATAAGGGTGTGGAAACTTCTCTCTAACAGACCTTTAAAAACATTGAGGAAAATCCAAAGAAGACTATCTGCTAGCGGTAGATTGGAACATTTGAGTGACGAATGAAAAGTGGCTGCTGTAGAGGGTTGAAAGGACATCTGAAGGAGGTTGGTCATTTCAATCATTGATTTCAGATGGAGACGTTGAGACATCTGTCATCTTTTTGGTCCGTTTGGTGGGGATGAGTAGAGTTGAAGGTGGCTATCAAATGGTTGCTGGGTCATTTCCATCCATTTTGACCTTCTCGAACTTCGACGTTCTCCTATGTGCTCTCCATTTTTTTTTTTTTTTAAAGGTGGAAATATCCCTTTCGTTCATTCTTCAAAATGACTACCAAAAGAATGACGACTTCAGATCGGATCCGTGGAAGACTGGAAACTGTTCTTCATTTTACTGTTACCCATTTGAAAAAGATCAACTGAACCACGATGTTTATGTTTCAAATGATCACCTCTCATTTTCAAATTTCAAGTATGCAATAGAGAATTAGCATTTGTGGGCATTTTTCATGGTAGAAAACTAAGTGTAGTTGGCAGAAAAGTACACGTTTAGGTTTATTCTTATGGACTACTTGTGAACATAACGGGCCTGCGTGAAATGTTCATGAGATTAGGCTGACCCCAAAATACATTATATAGTTAAAGCACTTTTTAAAAATTACTTGAGCACATTGTTATAACAAATTTTATAATCCTACAGAAAACAAAGGGAAAAAAAACACCATAATAAAGTAGGTATTCTGAAAACAAGCAATCCAAGAAAGTTAATTTTCCATGTTTAGAAAAAGTAAAATCCATCTAGAGATCTCCATCTTGAAGAATTTCCATAATTCCTATAAACACGAATATTCTTGTCCCCACCAGATTGGCGGCAATATGGTCACTTCTGGAATAATAAATTTCGAATATTTAACCATAAAAACATGTTATATCATTCAAATATAAGAAGAGAGTGAGTTCATTAATATGATAAGAAAATTTTCCATATATCCTGGGGTTTAATCAATTTACGATTTAAAAGTTCTAAAGGACAGCTAAATGTTAAGTATTCCTCAGTGAACACAGGCCGCACTAACTGTAAACACCAGCCCCCATCATTTACGAACTTCATCATGACCTGAAAATTCATTGGCAAAACAGAATTAGTGTCTAATTAACTGTGTCGTAGGCTGACAGTATTTAACACGATTGAGGGTGCAGTGGCTGGAAGAGAAAATAAATGATGGGGGTGTTGGGGTATTGAACACAGGGTACACATTCACCCTATCGAGCATCGAGAAGAACGCATTAAATTGACTTCCATGGATCTAATCACTGAACTGAAATTACATTTATTTTATAATAAAACCAATAACTACTTTCATGAACATAAATACATGAATCTGAAGGAAGGAAACAGGCAGATCTAATGCGAGGAATATCAATCAGCCACATTAAGTGGAAAAGATGGTCCCAAAATAATGCGTTAAAGATGTAAGCTATGGACTACAAAGAAACATTTCAAGGAAAGCATAAAGATAGATTTAATTTAACACAAGGAACTCTCACCTACTGGATTTAACACAAAAAAAAAAACTATATATTCTGAAGGAGCATTTGGTTGGCAAGCATGAATATGTAGGGTCAGGTTTCACAATTGTAGTGCTGTGCCATTCCAAAATACAGCATCCAAAACTCCTAATTGTTTATTCTCTAAATTCTCTTTCTAATGCTTTCTTTCTTTGGTTGCCTGATGGGCATTCAAATGCATGTTATACAAATATTAATGTTATTCACACATAACTACCACTACATACTTCAGTCCCTGTAAATTCCAAATACAGGGGTCCGATTCCTGCACTCTGCTTCCAGAGTTTCTCACTTTGAACCTTTTGGTTTCGATGTTTGTTAGCAAACTGAACATTCCTTCAACAGTTACACCTCTGTTTTAATATCTTCACACTTCAAGCCTCCATCACTTTTCATCACTCAAATTAGAGGAAAACTACAGAACTTAAGTAATTTATATATACCTTTTCAGTTTACAGTAAACTAAGTGGGGAATCTACTTCCATCTGGGATCTGCCCTGCTCTCATCTCTAATCAACAATTGTTTCTCAGGTGACTAAGATTTGAAACGCATGCACACTAAGATATAGGCGAGCAGAGGAAATGCTAACAATCCACAACCGGTTCATTATATAGATATCTAAAATAATTCCTTTCAAAGTTTCTCCGAGAAGCATGATAAACAATATTGCCATTAAGATGTTCTTAAAGTTTCAAAGAGGATGAAGACAAGAAGTGAACTCCCTAGGGCATTAAGAAAAATACAAAATTTATAGTTTAACATACAGAGAAGAAAAGTGAACTACAAACTAGACTAATATTAAAACCACAACATCAGAAGATTGGCACTCAGAAAAGTTCACACCTACAAGGATAGCAGCGTAGGAACTAACTAACAGAGAGCTGCTTCAATAATGTTTCCTAACGATTCTCCTTCTCAACCATAAACGAAGACATATTGGAAGAAAATAAACGCAAATCCACAGCAAGAACGTCTTGAATATGAGGAGCGTTATAAAAAGCATGGATGCTAGTCGTACGATCTTCAATCGTTTGGATCGATCGTGCCTGAATATACAATATCATGCTATTCGGTAGGCATTGCATGGACGTGCATCGAACGAAAATTTAAGGAATTATCGAACCGTTCCGTAATTGCAAAAATCTTCAATAAGATGAGCACGATGCAGAACACAAACAAGCCAGATCGAAGAGAAAATTAGAAGATCTATTAGATTGGATGCATACCTAATCTAACCAGATCCGACGATGATATTGTTGATCGGAATGAAGATTAGCTTGACAAAGAACCCTACAAATCCCATCACAACGAAGCCGATAGCGGTACGAACGGCAACCTTGGTGAATTCTGCACCATCAAAATGTTGAATAAGTCAAATTGAAACGGAAAACGGAATCTGTGACTTCGATTGAATCAGATCTATGCAATATAATGTCAAAGAAAGAAACATACCCTTGCGATCGGGTTTATGACACCTCTTAACGAGACGAACGCTGTCCTTGGCGAACTCTCTGAGAGGATCAACAACAGAATCTACGGCATCCATTTCTCCGAGATGCAAAGGGAACGTCGACAAAAGAAATGTTTCGCGAAATTTGGATTCAGATTTGAACGGGTTGGGGGCGTGTGGGGGTATGAAGGAAGAAAAGAAATGCTTTGAGCGCTGCAAGACTAGGGAGATTGGGTCAAAATTGATGGGCCGCCGAAATATTTGAAAGGACAGAAATACCCTTGAGCTATCATTTATAGAGATGCCAATTGACCTGCCCAAAATGGTAAATTTAATTTAAACGAAAATAGGGTTTTTAGTTTAAACAGAAAATAGGGGAGGGAATTAAGAGAGATTTTATCCCACTAGTATATATATATTTTTTCAGAAATTATATTAAATAATATTTTACATTTTTTAACTAAAATTATAATTTTAAAAGATGAAAATTATCTATTAAAAAATTATTTGAAAGAAATATTCTCACAGACATTAAAATGAAATAAGAAGCGGAGACAGAACAGCAAAAACTTCCTCGTCCATGCTCCAACTTGTGGACATCACTATTTATTGTATGTTTGCATAGAGCTAAAGTATGATAGGTAGCAAAGCCGTAGTAAATTAAGTTACTTGGATTCTCTTAAGCGGAATTTATGATTTGATCCTTCAAGTTTGAGTATTTTTTCAATTAAATCTTTATCGAATAACAAAAAGACAATTTTTAATTTTTTAGGGTTATTTTGAAAAACTTAATATTTCAAGAGTTAAAAGTGAACTTTTAAGAGTTCACGAGTATTATTGAAAGCAACCTCGTAGTTCTCATGGTTTAGGAGTATTTAATTTTATAATTTAACCATTAAAAATCATGAAAAGAATAGAGGAAAAAAGAACTTTAGCTTTCGTTTTTAGGTTGAGATGATAACTTGAACACTAATGTTCAGGTGGTTTAGGACACACCGACAACGGTTAGGCTATGCTCACGATGGCTTCAATAGCTTGAACTAAACAGGATTCGAACTAGTCATTCATGGAAATCCAACTAGTCTATGATCTTCCTCATGGGTTCTTCCTGTCCTTGGGAGTCCCCTAAATCAGCTGTGAAGGTATACACACAAGTCACTTTTGTAGCCATGATTCTATATATGCAGCCATCAAAATCTCAATCACTTCTCGCTTTGAGGATTGTTCGGAGAAGAGTCCTACGTCATCTAATTAAGGAGTTGATCATGGGTTTATAAGTATTTGGAGAAACCAAAAGCAAAGCATAACCATTGTGAAAGGTCCATGATTTTGATAAAATGTTGAACAAAGAAGTTGTGAGCCTCGAAAGTGTAGTCAAAAGTGACTCAAGTGTCGAACAAAGGTTGTACTTTGTTCAAGGGCTCAAGAGAAGGAATCGAGCCTCGGTTAAGGAGAGGATTGTTGGGAAAGAGTCACACGTTGACTAATTCTTAAAAGGAAGATCATTGAGTTATAAGTAAGGAATACATCTCCATTGGTAGCAGGTCTTTGTCCATGAGAGCTAAAGGTAGACAATATAATACCATTACAAAGAGTCGTGATTTCTACCACAAAATTCTCATCAACCCTGCTTCTAAATATTGGTCTGTCATAATAACGAATGCTTCTTGGTCTATAAGTCATAAGTCTACTCTCTTCTAACACGATACCTATGTTCCATATGGGTCCCTAAACTCTCTAGGCTGATTCAAATTGGTCTGTGAAGCTAAAAAATGTTTAATGCAACAAGGTCTTTGAACATTATATTCGATAGATTATGGACTTATGGGAGTCTTTCAAGTTCAAGAAGCTATTAAACTCAAAACTGAAAGTCCCTGCAGTTGTTAGATTATAAGATTCTTAATCTTTTGTAAAATTAGTAATGAATTCAAAAGAATAAGCCAATGGTGAGTATGGTAAACAGAATCCGTTCTCATCTCTATCTTAGCAGTCTAATTGATCTAAAATGCGAAGTTTATATCTACCATTGATAAGTTCAGTTCAATTACCTGAATTTTTGCATTCCTTTGTGTTTCGAGGATCACTCCTTGAAGCTTCTGCAAATCAAATGAAGTAGAGCAAAAACATGAAAAGCAACACCAGTAGAACAGCATTAAAGCACATCATGATGCACGGGGCTTCAGAGAACTAAAATCTGGATTCGATTCTCAGTGAAATTTTCAGGAATGCTAAAGATGATGATTTAGGTTTTTTTTTGTAGAAAACATACGACGGATTGGCATAATTTTGCTGCAACATCAAGGTGAATAAAATTGGGGGAACTCCAAGACGCAGTAAGCTACATTGTCGATGATTCGGTTCAGAAAGCAATCAAAAATTAGGGCAGACAGGAACTAGTACCAAAATTTAACAGAAAACAGTAGAAATTACCATTGTTAACGGAATCAATGGTTTGTGATTTGAATCTTGAAGCGCGGCCATGGAAGGGAGAGTTTCAAGTGAGGACAGAGCGAGCGGTACTGGTTCTTCTTCTTCAGCGACTCCTTCCATGGCGAAACCAGTGGAGGGAGAAATAAATAGTGAACTCATATATAGTTCTGTCGCCGATCGAGATACTCTAACTATAAATAAAATAGAAAACTTAAATTCACTATCCCCGAAAAGTCGATATGTCCGAGTGGTTAAGGAGACAGACTTGAAATCTGTTGGGCTTCGCCCGCGCAGGTTCGAACCCTGCTGTCGACGATTTTATTAAATTTTTTGTTTTTTTTTTCTTTATTGAATTTAAATATTACAAATAATTCGGCCGCGCAGGTTCGAACCCTGCTGTCGACGGTTTTATTATATTTTTTGTTTTTTTTTTTCCTTTATTGAATTTAATTATTACAAATAATACGTATATATATATATATATATATAGTATCTGTCTCCTCTCTTCTCCGGCAATGTCCGGCGGCGGGTTTGGTGTCCCTCCTCCTTGCCACTACCAACACTTCTCTTCTTCTCCTCATCGTGTCTTGGCGCGGTGGGCCGGCGGGGTATGTGGACGACAGGGGCAGGTGAAGTGGTGCCTGCGTTGGAGTCGTGGAGCAAATTTGTTGGCCACCCGACACATACGCTCTTGTCTCGGTCATGTCCCATCTTTTCTTGTTGTGCTATATAAGATCCCCCACTCCCTTTTTCTTATTCTCCCAAATAATTATATCTCATTTAGTAACTTTTATTATATATATTACGATATTTTAATATTTTTGTCGGTCACGTTTTTAGGGGCTTTCTGATTTGTAAGAAAAATGTGTGAAAAATGGACATAAATATTAAATACTTATATGTAATTCTCTATCATATTTTCTATACATGTCTAATTACCCACAATTATTTATTTTTATTATTATTTTGTCGATTAGACCTTTAACCCAGCATTCCCTGCATCTCCATTCAACATGATCAAGTTATATAATATTCGTTTTTTTAAGAGTGAGGGCTATCTCTACATATGATCATGAGTCTTAAGATGCTGTGGGATGTCCCATATTGGTTGGGGAGGAGAACAAACCACCATTTGTAAGGGTGTGGAAACCTTTACCCAGTAGATGCGTTTTAAAGCTTTGAGGGGAAGCTCGAAAGGGAAAGCCCAAAGAGGACAATATCTACTAGCAGTGAATTTGGGTCGTTACAATGATATAAGAGCCAGACACCGGACGATGTGCCAGCCTTCTCGCTGTTCCCCGAAGGGGGTAGAGACGAGGCGGTGTGCCAGTAAGGACGCTGGGCTCCAAAGGGGTGAATTTGGGAGCGGTCCCACATCAATTAGAGGAAGGAAATAGTGTCATCGCTGTTCCCCGAAGAGGGGTAGAGACGAGGCGGTGTGCCAATAAGGACGCTGCCCCCAAAGGGGGGTGGATTTTGGGGGTGGTCCCACATCGATTAAAGGAAGGAAAGAGTGTCAGCGGGGACACTGGGCCCTGAAGGGAGGTGGATTGTGATGTCCCACACCCTGAAGGAAAAGAGAACAAACCACCATTTATAAGAGTGTGGAAACCTTCTCCTAACAGACGCGTTTTAAAGCCTTGAAGGGAAGCCCGAAAGAGAAAACCACCCAAAAAGGACAATATCTGCTAGCGGTTGATCTGGGTCGTTTCATTGTTAGTATAGGTAGCAATTTTTAATTCTTTCAACTTTCTTTTAGCTATCCTATCATCACTATCTCTCATTGAGACGTCGTTTCACTTCAATTCTGTACCCTTCTTTTACTCAGGTGTCATCAGCTTCCACCTTGGTTCGAAGACGAACCACATTCTACTAAGAGAAGTACGGGTTTAACACCATTTATAACCATCCATGTCGTCAGAAAGGGAAAAGAGAATGATGCTAAACCCAACGAAGAAGGGCTCTCAAACACAAAGGCAAAAGTAATTGCACTCACACAAGAAATGAATAAAGAGAAACAAAACCATATTTGTTTCTTTTCTTTTCAGAAGCATCACTTCCGTCAGAATTCCCAAACACTAATGCCAAAAATCACACCCAAAATTAGTCAATTTAACACAGCCACGACGGTGCAAATTAAACCCAACCCAAATCCCAACAGGACCTCTATAAATAGAACCCCAAACTACCACAACTGAACCACCACCACCGCCTCCTTCTCCAACTGGTGCCGGAGACTCAATGTTGGACTGGGCGCCGGTTCTGTTCGGGTTACTCCTCTTCATCCTCCTCTCCCCGGGGCTGCTCTTCCAGCTGCCGGGAAATGCTCGCATGGTCGAATTCGGAAGCTTCACCACTAACGGCAAGGCCATTATCGTCCATACCATCCTCTTCTTCGGCATCTTCACCATTCTCATTTTAGCCGTCGACATCCATATCTTCACCGGATGACCTGAAATTACTCTTCTGTCCCTTCCATTCTTTTTCCATCCAATTTTTTTTTTCAAATGTTGTTGATTGGAAATAAACCGAATAATAATAAATTACGATTAATTATCTAGAATTTAATCAATAATTCATCTCATTTCTATTAATCATTTCATTTTCAAATGATTTGATGCCTCAAGATAAGATTCGACTGTGATTTCGATCAAATATATTGGTAATGACGCACCTTAATATTTATCATGGGATCCGATGTTTTAATTTAAGATTAATTGTAATAAATAAATAAAAAATACCCAATACCCAATACCCAATACCCATTTTGATCGTGGACAACGAACATCATAAAATAATTAAACGTTACTATTTAACATCTTTTTAATTACGCTTAAATATATG